CTTGGTTAATACCGTACGTGGATTACCCTTTCGTGGTATTCAGATACTTTGACTACATTGATGACGATAGGACAAATATGACATTATCAAAGAAATATATTGGTACGAATAAGCTGAAGAAAGAGTGCGACCATTGCCGCATCGGCCAGTCCATGGTGTGTAATTGATTAGTCGTTGCTAGTCATCTTTGATGATATTCGATTATCTGTCTAACGATCATTGATCTATCATTTAACACATAAGTGGTTCAACTTGATGGTTGATTTGTCTGGGGCTGAGAAACGTTTTATTGCCCCTGCAGACTCAACGCTGAAATTTTTTATCACTCAATCTTATGCAATCGTTTAACTTTGTGATTAGCCAAGACACAATTAAGATAAACCTCTGTTTTCTATGAATCTCACTGACAAACTAAGTTAAAACTTTTATGTACGCGACTTATATTGAATAATCCAGTACAATTTTAGCTATTTAAACCTATTTTATTAAAAATAATTATTCATAAAAAATATGACTTAGGCGAGGAGAAACTTTATTTCATTTTACTCCACATCTCGTCGCATTATTATTATTGTACAATTTTGCATTCCGACCTCGTTTCATAGTATAAAAAACTAGGTGATTGTCTGGCTCACAGAGTTAATGTTAGCCCTTCAAAAAAATCTGTCTCAGAGGAGCTTAGGATCATCTGTAAGCTACTAAGCGAAAAAGCGTTCCAAACAGAACATATGTCTAGAGCGGAAACCAAAACAAGATTGCCAATAACACCAAAAAACGTATGGTCATTATATTGCAATTCAAAGATGACGTCAAATCAGTCTGTCACTTGTTGTGTAAGTAGATCTCTGAGTAGAGCTAGATTAATTTGTTTTTCATTTAACCAACCAATATTTATCTTCTGAAACAACAATAAACTTATATATTCCTCTACCTTAATGTGTATTTATCAGTTTCGCTTCTCAAGTAAAGCCAGTTACACTGAGAGCACTATGAGACAAGTCCACCACCGTACTTCAGAATATTAGACTTCATGGCTGAACTAAGTACAAAGAAGAATAGTAAAAAGCTCTACCCTTGCAATTTCAGTCGATTCGACCCGTCAAGTCAATTCAAATGTACCATTCAAAATTACAATATAAAATAACATTCAGTTTACCTAATGCTTCCAGAAGTCACCTCTTACACATAGCAGAACCTATAGAAATTCGTTTAAATAAACCTGACCTCTGTAATCAGACGAAATTATGTACAAACATTTCCTTTATCTTGACCATAAAGTTTACTTCAAATGTACCCTCTTTTATATTTCTGTGATACTGCACAGGTGCCCAAACTGAAGCACGTGGCTTTCTTAGGGGGCCACACCCGGAGTCTTCAACCTGAAGGTCTGGTCCACAAGGCAGTGGAGTAACGTAAAGAGATGCAGTCACATGGTAGCCGTTGACCGACGATTGGTTCATACACCATTTGTTCCTTCAGGATACTGGGACCCATGTGCACCATTGGTTTGTAATCAGGGTTTTCCAACTCTCCTGTGTGAACTCTCCATGTCCACCAACCCGGTTAAAGTGCCGGACATTCGCTTTTCGTCCTCTCGATTTCGTAAACAACACCCCCTTCGCGAGAGGGCAGTGAGTAGGACTTCTCTGGCAGAGACTATATACGCGTGGCCATGTGAGAGCATTTGGAGAGGGAGAGTGAACTCTCCCCACCCTCGGCCGTACCAGGGCATTTTGGGGGCACATATTAATAAAGAATAGGCCTACGAATATTTAAATGATACACTTTTCTTATAACTTGGAAAGCAAAATGAACTTATCACGCACTAAAAATTGCAACTTGTATGGTTTAAAGAACTGAATAAATGTTTTTTTGTAGTTTGTTTAAATTACTCTTAATTCATTCATTTTTATTGCATCATTTATCTCTATTTTTAAACATCCGAATGTTCTCATTGATAACACTCAGACTATACTCACTAGTAAATACACTAGAGCAGTCAAGAATGTTCAATTTTCTTTTAAAATAAAATTAAAAATTAAAAAGCGATATCCAATATGTTACCTTATTTTCAATAATCGTTCAATAACTATTGATTGGAATTGCTTCTAAAAAACTTTTCGTTTGTATATCATAAATGAATTATTTAGATACACACTCACATCAATTGAAAAAGGAATTTTTAGTTGTTATGGAAAATTTCTAATATACATTATTAGTTTTATCGCAAAATGAAAACTCGTAAACTTTCAGTATATGAAAAAGGGATTTTGTGGATATAATGTGGTGTAAGTTACTTATATGAACATAAGTAGTATATAATGAGTGTCAGGAATATAATGTCTAGTAGGAAAACATCGAGGAGATCAAGAATGGAAGAACTAGGACGGAAAGCGATTGATATGAAAATGCGAGAACAATAAAATCTGAGGGGACGGACTGATATTTGCAAAAGAAAAAGTCAAGTGTAAGATAAAGGATTGATATTTTGTAAATTAAGTATTTACTGTATGGTTCTCAGATTTTAGTGAGATATTCTGTAATTTCGTGTTTAAAAACATTCGGTTGTCCCCACTCATGTAATTGTTTACTACAATTATAGCAATTTAATAGTTAAAAGTCAGTTGAAATTCAATTGGAAACAATGGACGATCGTGGATGCACACTGTTGAAGAATCTCACAATAGAACGAAATAGCTGTCTAATGCTTCTAGGCTTTTTATTGTAATCTAACTTCAATTGACTCATGATCTTAACTATTAAATAAACTTTCAGCACATACTTTTCTTTATTTTACTAAGAAATATGTAATTTCACTGATTGAAATCATGAGTCAATTGAAGCTAGACCACAATGGAAAACCTGGAAGCATTCGACGGCCGATTCGCCCCAGTATAGGACTCCTCAGCAGTGCGCACCCACGATCTCGCACCCCCGCCCGCGAGATTCGAACCCAGGACCTGTCATTCTCGCGCGCCAGACGCTCAACCAACTAGACCACTGAGATGGCCGGCATTCAACTGTGTTAATGTCTAACTTCAACCAATCCACGAAGTTGCGCCACCGTACACCATTGTCTTCAGTGAGTTGATATCTCACAACAAACCTGGTTGAACTCCACTGGTAACGGCTTCTCACTAGAACTCCAGGAGTATCTCTTGAAGTCAATCAGTGAAATTTCTAAAATCTCCACAAAACCCCTCCTGAAAATATATAATTTGAAGAAATTCATCTCTTCATTATCACATACAAAAAAAGTTCTAAAAAAAGATAAAAAAGGATTTATTTTTCACATTCTTGATTCGAATGATTTTATCTGTTTAATCAACTATTTAATTAGACAGTTTTATCCTATAAAAAACCATTGAAAAACTGATATTTTGTTCATTTGTTTATCTAGTTAGATACATACATTAATGATTGACTTACCACACAAAAAAGAATAACGAAGTCTAGTTTTATAGATTTTTTTCGATTGAATTATTTTTCAGTTATGACGATACTTTATGTTTTCACAATAGTTTCACTATGAATTTTATACTATCAATGCTTAAACCAGTAATGATGTTTTAATTGAAGCCTTTTACAGAATGTCTAAGAAAAAAGAGAACAGAAAACATTCTTAGCAAATGAAACAATTAAGCAATTACAAGTAGAAATACACGAAAAGTTAATTTTTATTAGTTAATGACAAAAATTGTTCGATTATACCAAAATAGTAATTGATATCGTTTTTAGAAACACGAAGCTCGACGGAGGGATCTCTTTTCAACGAATTTATTATCAAACTATACAATCGTATATATATACATATGAAAGTTTTTGTTAAAGTACTAGTTCCGTGAAGAAACGTAAACACGAATAACCAAGATGACGCAATAGGAAGATTATAATACTAGATTACGTAATACGAAGAAATTTATATATATACGATTGTACAGCTTGGTAATAAATTCGTTGAAAAGAGATCCATTCGCTGAACTTCATGTTTTATAACTTTTAATTATGAATCAGTGTTACTTACTGTATGACATGCGTTTAAAATGAATAATCCAGTAGACATCTTTATGTAATATTATTTAAATGTTTAATTCTTTTTCCTAATACTGCATTCAAAATTATATTTCTATCAAAATATAGAAACATTTAGCTAAAACACAGATTGTTTAATTCAGTTTTTACTTTATCCATTCTTTGGTACATACTTAAATACTTGGACAATGATTCAAATTAAGCTATAATATGAGTTTTGATTAATAAACACAACAAAACTGTTTATATCTGACAATTAATAGAGTTCGACACAATATGCCCCCCCCCTATCATTTTTTATAAAATGCATTGGTTACAAAGTGAATTTTTAACATGTTTTAAACAGCTATAGTGACTTGAAATTTTCAGTTTAATCTATCTTGTCCTCATCATAGCATGAATGCAGCTTAAGTAAAACTGATAGCACTGGAAACATATAGTTACTTAATAATTTTTTCTCTTTGAATTTTATTTGATAAATAATCTCATTTTCGAATATACCTTAAGCTGTCGTAGATTATGGACTAGTCTTTTGTAAGAAAATGAATTAGTAATTATTAGGCAGGTATAACGGTCTTGACTTGAAGATATTTAGCATTGAGAAAATAGTAGTTCGTTTATTCTTTACATTAACCAGGTTGTTTGTAGTATTTGATTAGACCTCTTGATTTTAGGCATAGAATTAGTACACTGAAGAAATTTGATATGTGTAAAAATAGATTTCTGTACAAACTTGTAATAACATTAAAATGTACAGCTTATAGTTACCTCTATATTGAACCTAGAATCTTGATGGGTTATAGTATGGTAGAGACAAAAGTCTTAATTTTTAATACTTATTAAGCTAATATCCACTTTCTGTCAAAACAATCCTTAAAAAACAATTTAGTATCATTTAACTTAGTTTACATTCAAATACTCAATAAATATATGGAATAATTTGCATTTCTTCTTCACCTTTCCCACAGATACATTACGTCATTAAACCACAAATAGAAGGTCAAGTAATTCATGAATTTCGTGTATCAACTAAGGGTTATATTTATGTGGCACGTGGTAATTTGGATAGAGAAAAAATACCAGCTTATAATTTCTACTTAGTTGCTATGGATTCTGGACTCCCTACATTATCATCTTCGACACAGGTTCATATACATTTGATCGATGTTAATGATAATTCACCACAATGGATATTTCCAGCGCATAATCATCAGATTATAAATTTAACCATTAATGAACCAGTCGGTTATCGTGTAGCTCAATTAATTGCTGAGGATCTAGATGAAAATGAGAATGGTGAAGTTATTTATCGTCTTGTTCAAACTAGTTTTATGTCTAATATGCCTAATATAGTAGATAGGACAATAATGACCAGCCCATCAACACGTTTAGATAATACTATTAATAGTAATGTACAAATTGTCCCAAAAACAGACATGAGATATGTCCCATCACATAATGTTGGTAACTTGTTTGAACTGGATTCCATAAGTGGTGCAATTTATGTTGGTCGATCAATGAACATAGATGATGTTGGATCGATTAAATTAGTATTAGAAGCAAGTGATCGTGGTCATCCAGCTAAAGTTAATCATAGGGTTTTACAAATTGATATTTTTCGTTATTTATCACAAGCAAGTGCCTATTTATTGAATGAAAACGACGGTGACAATGTTGGAGTTAGTGAACATGATAGACAGAAGAACACAGTTGTTGGACATGGAACCTATTTAGAAAATGATCTAATTGTAATTGTAATTATGGTCGCTGTAACACTGATAATATCGTTAATACTCATATTAGCTATTTTATTTCTACGCTGTGGTGCATGTACTCAACGAAATACAACACAATGTGAACAAAATAATCCAAGATTTTATAGACAGAGCCTCAATCATACACATCATCTTGAAGAAGTTTTTAGAGATTCGGGAATGCTTGAAGTTGATGGTTTGCTTTCACCAGGAGCTGAACATTTATTGGGTGAAGGCGGTTTAAATACTTTTCCTTCACCAAATCATCTTCATCACCCACCTCAATCTACAGATTCGGATAAAATGATAAGAAGCTTTTTATCAAATGCAGAGAAAAATCAGTGGATGATGGCTGCAGTGGATCCGAAAAAGCCTGATACATTACGATCCCATAAACTGTTCAACTCAACACATCCATTTCATCCTTCACCTACAAAATTAAATGACTTATCTACTTTGAAACGAGCCAGTCAGACGGGAACAATCTGTCGTTTAAAACCTGTTGAAGAACGCTTTCTTGATACTGGATCGACTAAAAGTAAGTTATTATCACCAGTTTTAATAGGGAATTTTATTGATATTTAATTACCGTAAAATATTCATATACTTCTTGAAGGTACTTCTTCAAATGAAATTTTTGATATCACTCGTTGAAATAATTATGATTTTCATAATGTTCAGTCGTTACACTGACAATCTAAAACAGAAATCTTTTGTGATATTAATGTTTTTTTACTTCCTAGTCTATAATCATTCATATCTTATCAACTATATATGCAAAAATCATAAGAATAAGTCTTATTTATTTATTTATTTTAACACATAGATATCGGTACAAAGAGGCACCAAATACATAGGCGCCACACAAATCTCATTCGATATGTGTGAGGGCTGTGATACTGCACAGGTGCCCAAAACGAAGAAGATGGGCTCCTTAGGGGGCCACACTCGGGGCCTTCGACCTAAAGGTCTGATCCACAAGGCAGTGGAGTAACGTAAGGAGATGCAGTCACATGGTAGCCGTTGACTGACGATTGGTTCATACACCATTTGTTCCTTCAGGATACTGGAACCCATGTGCACCATTGGTTTGTAATCAGGGTTTTCCAACTCTCCTATGTGAACTCTCCATGTCCACCAACCCGGTTAAAGTGCCGGACATTCGCTTTTCGTCCTCTCGATTTCGTAAACAACACCCGCGTCGCGAGACGGCAGTGAGTAGGACTTCTCTGGCAGAGGCTACATACGCGTGGGCATGTGAGAGCATTTGGAGAGGGAGAGCGAACTCTCCCCACCCTCGGCCGTACCAGGGCATTTGGGGGCAAGAATAAAAATAAGAATAAGTCTATTTTACATTAATTTGATTCTTACTAAAATAATTACTATCACTCTTTAACATAAATGGAAATAATATACATTTTTAAAACAAACCATTAAATAACAGACCATTCATTTGCAATAGTATCGTAATAATCCGTGTTTTATGATAGCTATTATATGATTTAAAAGTTAAAGGAATAGTGACGCTAATTTCATCAAAACAAAAAAATAGTGAGAATACTCTCTAGTCTATTTGATTGAATTGGTATACTTTCAGTTTTTACTGTTAGGTTAGTTTTCAATCGGTAAAATTATTATTATTTATCAATTTTTATTATTTCAGTAAGCTCGTAACTATCCTAAAGGTTGATATTGAAAAGATGTTTATTTATGTATATAAAGATAGCTGGTTAGTTGATTGATTGTTTAGATTTAGCTAACTAGTGGATGGTATGTGTAAAGAACAACTTAACACGATAATTTTGATGGTAATGATAACAACAATAGTAGATTTTTAATCTTATTCATGAAACGACTAGTTTTTGTCCGGATTCACCATTAAAATTTATTTTTAAAAGTAAAGAAATCTTGAAGTTTACACAAATTTCGAAGTAAATAAGTAAACAGTATGAATCAAGATCTGTAAGAAGATGCTTTGATTAGTAGATGAATGAAGGTTAACTTTGCTTCTGAAAGCTTAGACTGATCAATTTAACATGCTGCTTAGATTTTTTTTAACTCTTTTAGTTTACTACTACTCAAGACAACTTACATTTATTATACTACTAATTATAATAATATTAATAGCATTAGTATTAGTAATATCAGTTAAAGCAGTTGTAGAGCAGTGAAAACTACTTATGTTTGCAGATATAAGTGGTATGTAATACCAGTCGGAAGTAAAATGTCTAGAAGTAGAAGATTAAGAAGATTGAAAAGAAGAGGAGAGAGAAGAAAACTGAAAGCAATCAAGAAAGCAACAGGAATGAAGGAACAACGAAGCGTTTAAGAGACAATCTTAAGAAAGGTGTGCAAATGATGTATTTGATGTAGGATTTTCAACTTTTATTCAACTATTGTTTAATTGGGCATCCAACAATAAATTGGTCTTTCTCACCTGATTTTCCCCTGATTTTAGTTTCAACCTCACTTACTTGAACTTCTGTATCCACCTAGTACCTTTACCTATAAACATATTGAATTTTTCTATAACTTCTATGTCATGACATTAATCACTAAGATTATTTTAACATCAGCAATCCCATTAAGCAGTTGTAAGATGATATTTGCTTGAATAACAACTATAAATGAACATATGTTTGTCAGATTTTACAGATTAGTTAATTAGGTCTCATAACTTATAGGCATATTTGTAACAATTTACTTTTCAAACTTATGAGTACGATGTGATTTGTATTATGCGAAAGGAAGTTAATCGACAAAAGGCGAAACGGCATTATGATACATACATAAATGTCTCATTTATTTATGTATTCATACTTCTTCGTATGAGCAAGAGGAAAGAATAAGATTATATAATACGAATCATATACCCTATCCTTCATTCCATCAGAGAGTGAGACTAATATTTATATAGAAGATGCATAAAGTAGAGAAAACGTCGTGGTCATACTATATACTGATATTGATTATCTATATTTTTCAAACTTTTCTAAGATATATATATATATATATATATATCAGAAGAGACTATCAATCAATCTTTAAGCATACATTATTACACTTAATTATAAGATTATTAACGTAATCAAGTAACTGTATATACAAACAAACGTTATGTAATAGCAGTCGTTATTGTTGATTATGCTTTGTCACTGTATCATTTATATTTTAACAAAATTATCGCATATATATATTAGTAACTACAAGTAAATTATATGGATATATAACTTCTGTCATCAATCAGATATTTCTTTCTTATGTGAAGGAAAATTCTGTCAATACAGTTTATAAACCCCATCGAAAAGATGTGAAAAAGTCATTATTTTATTTAATCTATCCATATTAAAACAATTAGTCCCTTTGATAAATTTCGATAGATATTGAAGAGAGGTTAATCAGTTCAGTCTCCGCCGTTCCGCTTGAGTTAGTTTATGGAGAAAAAGATCACCCACTATTCAGGGTGCACTACACGAAAAAAAGTCTGTCTTTGCCTCCAGAAAAGGACTGGTGGTTTTAAATAGTTCTTATGACAGTTCGTAGGTTCGTAAATTAATGACAATGCTTTAACCATCAGTTGTTTTAGTGTGTATATATATTTGACCAAGAATTCGACAGTAATTAATGCAGTATTTTGTTAATTACAAATATAAGAAACCTATTTTATATTGGTTTAAAAATAACAGTTTGTTTATATGAAAACAATCTGTTGCATTTTGGGCTTTGAGAAAATCTAACTATATAATGAAATCAATTTACAATCCCTTTAATTTCTAGATTTTCACTACTAAATTTTTATTATGTAATGGAAACTATGATTATACATATTAGACACTTTTTTATGCAATAATAAGCAAGTTTTTATTTAATTTTTACTGAAGATTCTCCTGATCATGAATTGAAATTATTGATGGGAGCATGTCCAACACTCAGGCAACAAAATCAGACTTGTTCAACTTTTAAAGCAGGTTCTTCACAACTTTCAGATCTACGTATTAATTCGCCATCGTATAGAGATCCTGGTTCTATTAGAAATTTAACTTCACCCAATGAAGTAAGTTAAAAGAGTAGGATGGTTAGTTTTATCTATTTGTTAGAATACTTCTATTACATTAATATTTTTAATTTTGCAACTGAAAGATCTTTACTAGTAAATTGTTGTTGGCAGTGGTCAAAGAAAATAAAATTTAAAAAAATATTTAAAGTGTCAAGTTAATTGCTTTTCTTGGAATAACAAAAAAGTGAACTTACCCATGAATGGATTTACTGGGGAAATTTGAAAGACAAGTAATTGGGATTCAGCGCAGTGATGTAAGTAGACCATAAACTTATGCAATAAAAGCCATAAAATAAAGGAATCAAACAGACGTTATTTACTGAGATGAAACATGTATTATGCATAAATAAGAAGTTAAGACATAGGATCAACGCATTAAGAGTAACTATTTCTAATGACGAATGAGCAACATAGATTACCTGGATTTTTTAAGCATCCTGGTTTAATTTATTGAATTTATAAGTTTTAGTAAGCCTGGTTTATTATTTTATCGAAATAACCATTTATTGAGATATAATTATCCAGTATGCATCTATACTAGAATGAAGGGCGTCCGAAGGCTACTGAAGAGTTTTCAGTGAAATGATACCCGTAATCAGAATTCGCTAATAACATTTATTCCTGTCAGTTTATTTTCATTTTACAAGTGAAGTAAATAAAATAGCATATCAATTCGATGTTCACATGTGAAAATGCCAAAAAATGGCAACAATTTTAGTATAATACCTACTTACTTACACCTATTACCCGTCGTGGAGGGGCATAGGCTGCCCACCAGCATTCCGCATACAACTATGTCTTGAGCAGTCTTTTCCAGTTGCTATTCATCTTTTCATATCTGCTTCTGATCCCCCACGTAGTGTGTTCTTTGGTCTTCCATTTTTTCGTTAGAGCTTGTCTCCTGATACAGTTTGGTGATTTCCGTAATGAATATCCTAACCACTTCCAACGTCTTTTCCTAATTTCCTCTTCAACCGGAGGCTGGTTTTCTCTCTTCCATAAAGGCTGTTACAAATGGTATCCAGTCAACGGACATTAAGTATCTTGCATACACAATTGTTTATAAATATTTATACCTTTTTGATGATGGTTGTAGTAGTTCTCTAAGTTTCAGCTTCATACAGTAGGACCGTCTTGACGTTCGTATTGAAGGTTCTGACTTTGATATTGGCTGACAGTTATTTTAACTTCCGTATTTTCTCCAACTCTAAGGATGCTGCCCTTGCTTTGGCAAGTTTTGCTTTTACGTCTGCATCAGATCCTCCTTGTTCAATGGTAATGATGTCCAGGTACGTGAAAATTTCCACCTCTTCTAGAGTTTCTCCATCAAGTGTGACTAAGTTGATGTTCTCGTGTTGTATTTGAAGATTTTGCTTTCTCCTCTGTATATTTTGAGCCTTAATGATGCAGAGATTGCTGCCCCACTGGCTGTCTTTATCTGCATTTGCTGGTGTGTGTGGGATAGAAAAGCTAAGCTATCTATGAAGTCCAAATAGTCTAGGTGTATCCAAGCTGTCCATTGTGTTCCGTGTTTCCCCTCGTATGTCCTGGTTTTCATAATCCAGTCAATCACCAGAGAAAAGAAAAACGACGATAGTAAGAAACCTTGTCTGACGCGGGTCCTCACTTGGAATGCATCTGTCAGCTGTCCTCCATTCACGATTTTGTATGAATTCCGGGTGATGTTGATGATCTTCTCAGGTACACTATAGTGTAAAATAACGTTTCACAAGACTCTCTTATCAATATTGTCAAGCACTTTCTCATAACCAAGGGAATTGATGTGTAGTGACGAGTTCCGTTCAATTGATTGTTTAACGATTTTCCGTAGTGTCGCGGTTTGTTTTGTGCATGATCGATCCTTACGAAATTTGACCTGTTGATCTCAAAGCTGGGTGTCTGTCGAATCTCTCATCCAGTTCGGCGACAGGCTGTTGGAAATATTTCCTTGTACAAACAGTATTGTGGTGCCTCTGTAGTTCTCACATTTGCACAGATCTCCTTTCTTTGGTATTTTGATGAGGTGTCCTTCTTTCCAGTCAGTCAGCACATGTTCCTCCTCCCGAATCTCCCTATATAGAACGGGGAGCACTTTTGCATTTGCTTCTACGTCTGACTTCAGAGTTTCAGCTTTTATATTTTCAGGTTCTGCTGCTTTCTCACACTTGATTTGCCTGATGGCCATCCTGATTTCTTCCGTTCACTGGTGGAGTGACATCTATAGGAAGGTCTGTGTGTGCTGCTTCGATGTCCGGTGGATTCAATGAAGCTGACCTATTCAAGAGTTCCTCATAGCGTTCTATCCATCTGTTCCTCTGTCCTTGAACCTCAGTGATTGTCCTGCCTTCTCTATCCTTGACTGGTCTCTGGTGTACAATATTTCACTGTCAGTTTCTTCTTCGTGTCATATAGTTGACTGATATTTTATTCCCAAGCAGCTCTTTCCGCTGTCATTGCTAGGTCCTACACGTATTTCTGCCTTTCGGTTCTAATGTTCCTCTTCAATTGCTTGTTTGCTTCTATGTATTCAGCTCGTGCCTTACCGTTCTCTGTTCTTGTTTGGCTGTTGTTAGTTGCTGTCTTCTTGTTATTCCTTTCTTGAATCTTGTTCAGGGTTTCGATAGAGATCCATTTTTTATGATGATGGTTCTTGTAACCCAGCGCCTCCTGGCACGTTAAAGTGAGTGCTTCTTTGATCCTTTTTCAGTTTTCCTCCATAGTAGTTTGTTCTTTTTTTAGTGGATCCTGTAAGGCTTGGAACCTGTTGTTGAGAGCTGTCTTGAATTCGTTGAGTTTGTCAGTATCTCGGATGAAGAATTTATTGAACCTTGTAACGCTGTTTCACCAGTTATCCAGTGTTACTTTATCTTCAGATTCATCTTGGAAGCCACTAGTTGGTGGTGATCTGATGCCATATCAGCTTTTCTCTTGGTTTACACGTTTTTCATCGACCTTTTGAATTTTTTACCCATGCAAATACGATCTATCCGGTTCGTTGTAGTGTGGTCTAGTGAGACCCATGTAGCTCTGTGTATGCGTTTGTGTGGGAATATTGTCCCACCTATGACAATTTTGTTGAATGCACATAAACTTGTAAATCTTCTACCATTCCCGCTCGTTTCTCCTAGTCAGTCCATATCATCCCATCAAACTTTGATACTCGGTGTTGTCTATTTCGACTTTGACGTTTAGGTCTCTCATCAGGATGGTCAGGTTGTTGCTTGGGCGCTTTTGTACGATTGACTGAAGCTTTTGATAAAATTGATCTTCATCTTCGTCGTCGCTATCATTGGTGAGTGCACAACACTGGATCATATTCATTGTGATTCCCTCCTTCTTTGTTTTGAAGATTGCTTTGATGATCCTGGATTCATGAGATTCCCATTCCATAAATGCTTTCCGTGCTTCGTTGGACAGCACCAGAGCAATTCTTCGAGTGTGTGAGACATTTTCTTCTTCGTGACTAGAGTACAACAGAGAGTTATTTCTTTCACGATTGAAGACAAATATTGATGAAAAGCGTTAACCATTAAGAATCCTATGTCTAAGACTTCCTACCAATCTCATTTAACAACCTAACATAAAAACACAATGTCAATTAAACTAATGGCTACATTATAACTTGTTTCATACTATTTGATCAGTTCTAAGGACTAGACAAACATAATATTTATGATCAGTGAAAACAGTTTATTGGTAAACGATACCGTTAAGCATCATGATCAATCTCCTTCTTTTATGTGAACTGTGCTATATGAAGTAAAGTAATATTTACCAAATATACAATGCCAGAAAGTAAAAAAAGATATAAGTGAAATACCAAATCTGCATATGCTGATTTTGATTCATTTACACTTAGTAAATTAGCTCTATTATTGAAGATACCGCTAAAAATCAGTTCTAACAATCACAACACTGGTTCTGGCTGTTGAATAATAATGAAGTTATTCATGAACTATATGAAACATTTTGTTTCATTATTCATTTTCTAAACCACAATGTATAGAGTTTCATTTTTCACTAATTCACAGTTTGGTATTTTAAAAAATAATGATTACGTGTAATTTGATTCGATTTATCGACTTTAATGCCTGATTCCTTACATGAGAAAATAGAATTCGTAGTAACAAATAAGGTTACCATCAACACAATATATCGGTTTCTTTAGCTACAAAAATCAAAACAAAAATTGATAGATAGCTCAATATACTTTTTTGACTAACATCAATTAATGATATAACTTGACATTCATCAATATCAAGTGTTAAAAGTGCTACAAAGAAATAGTTAAACAAATTGAAATTGTCACACTCATTTGTTAACTATCAAAATGAAAAAAAAATGATATTTAATATAAACAAATATGAAGATAAAACTCTTTCTCCCACTTTTCTTTCTTCCCCTTCTTCTTCTTCTTTTTCGAATAAACACATATGAATGATTAGCTTGAATCATTTAAAATTATGAAATATTGTTTGTTGTTGTTTTTCTTTAACAGAGAACTTTGGGAAAAAAAAAGTGAAAAGAAAAAACCGTATATAAATATACATATATGTATAAATAAATCATAAAATTTCTCTTTTTTCACTATAGAAACTCACTGATTTGTAAAATAGAAAATTAGTTTCAAAAATAAAAAAAAATTTTTAAGTAGCTGATAAATTTCTCATTATCAGTTATTAAACACACGAACACACTAATGAAAAATTAAATTTAACGAGAAAAAAAGGAAAAAAAGAAAGAAAAAAGTGAAAAAATGAAATTTATCTCTTTTTAAATTTTCTCACATTATGATTATTTTTGTTTATAAATAAAAAAAAGAAAAAAAATACTGAATAAAAATATTTTTCATAAATCAAACTAAATAAAAATAATCAATAATTGGTTTATTTATCATGATTTAAAGTTTTTTTTTCTTTTTTACAAAAAAAAAGAAAAAGATAAAGAAAAGTAATAAAAAGTTTTTTTTTAAAAAAAGAAAAATTAACTTCGTTAATAATTTTTATTTGGATACCATATAGAAATAAAATTGTATCCTATGGATCATTGTTTATATGTACATTCTTCTATTTTTATTGACAAACTGACTTTTGGATATATTTACTATATGTAGGAAAGGTTTATGTCTAATAATAGAAGTATATAGATATATATTAATGTTAGAGTTCAATTTAAGTTTTTACTAAGTGACTATTTTTATGTTTATTATCCAATAAATGATAAATACATATCTTGCTAGTATTTAATGTTCATCTTGAGAAAAAGAATATAGGGATTACTGTGAAAGTGAAGACTCTTTTCACATTAATGTCAAAATGACTATTTATGGAAAAATAATTTTATGAGAACTAACTTTACAAAATTATATTATATGTAATTTATTTAATTGTTTAGAGTATCTGAATTAATTCATGACTATTTGATCATGTTTGAGGTCGTAAACATGCTGTCGATATAATTGTACATTATCACTTGAGTATTCAGAATTCTTCCGTTTATAATCACTCGATGTTATATACAATGAATGGTAACTGTAGATATCTATTTCTCGATTAATACTTTATGTATATTTTTATCATATAATTGTTAAATAACTAAACTATTCATATTCGTTTTCCTTTTATCATAAGCTTTATTTTGATCTATGAATTATTATTATACGATTTGTCGTTCTTGAGTTATGTCCAGTCTATTAATTACTATCTCCCATATTCACAGCCACATTTGGCTAAATCTTGTACAAATGTTGTTTCCTATTTTATAATATGATGTGGTCTGTCTGGTTGGTATATAAACTCAGTATGTTTGACATAAATGATTCATATCGCGAAAGCTGAGATTGGTGTTCTGAACTTAACAAACGGTTAAGCAGCAAGAAGGACCAATAAGGACTCTAGACTGCTCATACAGGTTTGTTGCGTCATTAAGCTGGTTGATAAGTCACTGTTTTCTAATTGGCGGTGTCACTAAGATATACATTGATAGGAGCACAAACCCACAAGTTATAACGCTCTAAATAGTAGTTTTTTGGTGCAAACATCCATGGAACTTCAGATTTCTAAATTACTTCATATTTCTGCAACAACACTTGGTGGTAGTTCCGTTAGCTTAATAGTAATTTGATGATGAGTTATCTACCTGAACAGACCTTTTATATATTGTCTGATATGAACTGAACACTACTTTTTATCAAAAACTCAAATATCCTTAAATTTTAGCTCACTTCAATGGCCAGATTTATTATACTGTAGCCCGTTCTGATGCCATCCAAAGAAAAAAACAATCTTTTTAATTAGATAATCTTTGAAAACGTATTTCAACATTCAGGCTTTTTACTCATAGTTCTTTACTGAAAACAGTGCACCGAACTCATATGAGATGAAATTTTTCGGATTTTCAGTAAGCTTGATTCATTACTTCAAATATAATTTTTACAATCTTAGTGATTAGGAACTTTGTGCTACAGAAACCAGCCAATAAGATAGAATGATTATTTCGACCATTTTGCAACCTATATGTTTATTGCATTTGAAATGACTAAATTACTAATTAACTGTCTATATTTGGCATGTACTTTCGCACAGGAATTTCAAGATTTCAAATATTGAAAAACTAACAGGTATAATTAGAATATCCTCAAACAAAATAATCTTTATTACATACTAGAAATCATAGCTTTTACGTGAAATAAAATCTGACTACTTAGTAGTAGTATTCATGTTTTCCTAGTAAATTGTCCAACCAATAGGTTATACCTGAACTTCTTATATTATTTGTTGCATCATTTTAGCGCATTTAATCTAAGTAATATTTTTAATAAGTGATAAGAAACTATCAAAAGTGAAACTATTTATTTAGTGTAACAATTGTTCAGTGAAACCTTCAATTATATTATGGAAATCTCTGTTATACATTTGTCCAGAATAACACTTACTTAATATGCTATTCGTTTTAGTTATAAATTGTTAAATTTACTTAACAATCACTGCGATGAAAATCAGTTTATAAGAAAATTGTTCGTTTTCTAAAGTAGGTTCAATAAAGTCAAATGTCAAGCTTTGAATTTTGACATAGGTAGCAGTTTTAATTATTGTCAATTCATCTACTATCAATTTAAATTCGTTTCCTATTACCGTATAAATCTTCTTGGTCACACTAATTAAAAAACTTGAGTACAGGGCTTTTAATATCATTCTGTAATTATCTGACTAGGTGGTTCAGATTCTGTTTGCCTTTTAAACAGCATAAAATTGTTTCTGTTAAGGAATATCTAAATAACGTTCATAAAGTACCATAGAAGTAAACCAAAGAAAACATTAAACTTTTAACACGTAATTATGGTAAATTAACCAATAACATACGTTTCATTACTGTGTTATTACACCAATAAAGTCAAATGATTATAGTTTAATAAATATATTTCCAAACGAGTAAAGAAATGAAGTAAAAATCAATACCAGAAAACATAAAGCCTACTGACCCTTCTGCATAACATTCAGTTGTTTTTTGAATATAAAAATGAATATATACACCATAATCAATTAAATTCGAACTGTGGTAAGACCCGGTTGCTTTTCTCCGAAGCATTCCAATCCTCCTTTTTTTAAAACAAATTTTCAGCTCAACAGATGCAAGCTTTTTAAGTTGATCCGGATCATTGAAGCATTTATCTTTTAATAAAAATATTAATTATTATCAAGACAACTAAGCCATACCTTCAGTTCTTTGAATATTTTACCTGGCTTTAGATTTTTACTCTAATATCATGGCAATAAACTATGTGATAAGAGTAATCATGTAGTGTCGGTTATTATGTTTAGCCCATACACTTTATTCTAGCTTTCGGACAGGTCAGTCTATTCATTCTACTCGAGTCACATTTTGACCTTGTTAATTATTCGCCTATTAATCTTAGCTGTTTTTATATAAGCACATATACGTGTGCCCTTCTTATCCCATTCATCATATGTTTGTAGCTTCATTTTGTGTAACAACAAATATTGATTAACGCTTGGTTAAAAAGGAAGTTGGCTCACATGCCTTTTCCATCACGCGTCATTTCGCTTCACTCTCTCACTTCATTCCTTGATTACCTGTTCAAATCAATGAGTGTATGAAATATACCTATTCAAAATCCATTCTCATATTTGACTTATTCAGTTCCATTATTCACTAATGCGATCCAAGTCGATAATTATATACAAGGAATGATGATATGTATATCTAAATAGCAATCAAAAAACGATCAAACTGGAACCAGATCCTGGGCCACTAAAATCACACAATATTTAAAATGTTATAAACTATACAAAATATTATAAGTTTTTTTTTAAAAAAAAACAAGCTTACAGGTTATCTACTGATTGATAAGTGGTAAAATAATTTGATTTTTCAAATCTAATTTTGCATTAATAAATCAGTCCAATAGTACTGTGGCTTACTTGTCACTCAATGATAATAATAATAATATAAAAATACAGTAGGTTTTAATTAATTATTCTACTTTAATGTTTTATTCCATTTTATTCTTATTCAATCTTTAATAAAATGCCAATCATGCATTAGTTATGAATATCTAAATAGGTAACATATGATTTAGCATTGAAGGACTAATTATCATTATAACAAATTTTGTATAAGGAAAGTAATATCAAGTTGGTGTTGTTTGTTTCTTTGTTTGTTTGTTTCTAATTATTTCCATTTTAAGTGATGTAAAATGTGAATATACAATGAATAGCTCTTGGTAACTATATTCATTATAAAACATTATGCCTTTTTGATAATAAACTTTATTTTGTTTTTTAGATAACAGAAGATATAGAAAGTATGGATAGTGGTCATGGATGTAGTACCGATACAGGAATGATAGAAAATCATTTCCCTAATTCAAGACCTCAAAGTTCACTCAATACTTTTCGTGTGAATAATGCAACATTTCGTCAAAGTAAGTTAAAAAAAATAAGAAGAATGTAATTCATTCATAATACCAAGAGTTTCGAGTGTTATTTCATTTCATATACGTGATCCAATAGTAATTTAATCAGGAAACTTTAATAAGAACACAATACTAAAGAACATGACTTTGAGTACTCTTTACTGACCGATAACTGTGAATATCTTAATGTTGCAAATGTTCAGACATAAACAGAATAGTTCAACTGTTATTTTTCATACTTTGACATAGAGTGATAAAGGTTTTTGTCTTATGAAAAGAATAAAGGTATATCACGATAACCATTGTCAAATAGCGAAGAATTCAGGTATTTGGTTTTATATAGATTATTTCAGACAACTGAATGTCAATGAGATTAACGTAACCATTTAACAAATTTAACGAAATAAATCATTTTTAATGTTGAATTTGTGAAAACACTGTACCTTTCATTAGTCAAATTTATGTGCTACTTGTATGGTTTTATCGAAATTATCAAAAGGAAAGATATTCTTCCGTTTAACGGAAAATTAATGAAACCATTCTTATTTAGCTCAAGAGATAACCAAATCTTTATTATGTCATAATTTGATATTTAAAACAGATTTGACGTCAGAGTGACTTACAAACAATATTACCATATACATACATTAAAATAAAACACAAAATTTGCATACTACATTGTAAGAAAATGTTTATCATTGAATATCACAGAGGTTATACTATATCTATTGTTATATATAGTGTGAACATACTAGAATCCACCACAAATATGTAATAACTGACAGATTATATTATTACAACAACAACAATAACTGCTATTACTACTACTACTATCACATTGTCAACACAAAATGGTAAAATAAAGTCTTTATGTTAAATTAACACCCACCAGTCGTTTTACTGGTAATATTTAGTTTTTAAATCTATTTAACGTGTAGATCCATGTTAATAATCAACTAGTCCATATGGGTAATTTCTAAAGAAGACATTAGTAAAAATGGCCTTTTTAAAATTATTGAACAGTGATTTTGTTCTAATTAACACTAGAAGCTTAAAAATAACTAATTCTAAATAATTGTGTAGAGAGTGGCTAATGTAAATCGGTGAAAACATTTTACCCGTATACTTTCTGTTTGTTACTTTATAAATAGGCATCTACTGAATCAACGTTAAAACGTTTTGTTCAAAAGTAATCTGTGACCACATTTCAAAAACAGCACATTCATACGCAGTTGGAAACAATACTTTTATCACTCAATAATATACCTAACTGAAATGAATAATTCATTTTTTGAGGACTTAGTACTTTGTTGCATTATTTCAAGTAACTTATAAGGATACCTTGCTTTACTCTTAATGTAAGTTGAACCATATAAGTATATGAATTAGGATAGAATGATGTCTTTCTTTCTTCCGAAACTCTTCTAATGCCATGTTTAAATAGGTTCCCACGAAAATAATCAGGATCCCACTAGGCTTTTCTGGTACATCTCGCCAATAAACCTTAATAACCACATAAGTTAAATTATTAGTTGATTGAAAAGTATTTAGCATCAACAAAAATTGACTGATGATTGCACAACGTAGTAAATTTCATCAAAATTGAAAGGTCAGATAGTAATAATATGTTGTATTCTTAGATATAGCTCCTATATGACCTAGTCGTTTTTAATTACACAGCCTACAACATAGTTAGACTATTCTAAAGTCTACTCAATAAAATATTTTATGCCTTCGTCCTTATTGTTGTAATCAAGTAAATGTGAACTGGAAACTAGGTACACTGTAAGCATAAGAGATATAAATGCAAAACTGATATGAAGATATGAATGATGATGAGATCCTATTTGTCAATAGAAACACTTTACATACTATTTCACAACCTACTGGTAGTAAAAATTCATCATGTATACTACAGAAAAATAAATGAAATGATCCATTCTTAACAAATAGCTTACCATCAAGCCAAGTATATATTGTATCAGTTTTGAAACTGAGATTATGCAATTTAATATTGTTGTGACTCAACTGCCTTGTAAGTTGTTCATAATAGGGTGATTAGTATTTCACAATAACCTTTCCCGAAGTTGATAAATTATTCGATCTTTTAATATAAGCTATTAAAAATCATTCTGTTAGAAAAATTTTGCCTGTCTTTAAAGATCCCGCCATGCTCATCTACATTTTAAATGAACACATAATTTCTGTTTAATTGGTGCTATTCGGCGTTTGTTGACCATGATTTACATCGTGCCGACTAGTAAGATTTATTTCAGATTTCAAAGTTGTTAGTTTATTATCATGAAGGTAGTCATAATTCAGTACTGATTTTGAGTGTACATCACCTATGTATTTATCCATAGATTATATCTATTGCTCAAATCAATATTGATATTTGGAACCTCATTCTAAAATAACGTGCTATGAGACTAGTTATATCTCAACAGTTATTGAATATGAATAGAATGGTTGTGTAACAATTTTGATGGTGTCTGTTTCAACCTTGAAGCACTGGATGGCCGTTTCTTCCTATCTTGGAACTCCTCAGCAGTGCGCATCCATGATCCCGCCTCGCGAGATTCGAACCCAGGACCTATCGGTCTTGATATGACGAAACGGCAGTCTAGTACTTCCAGGCTTTCCATGGTGGTCTTGCTTCAAGTGATTCATGATCTCAACTATTAAAAAAGAAAAGGAAGACAAATTAAACGCTAAAAATTGAAGTAGTTGAGTAGAAGATCCATTTACAGTAAACTTATGCAGTTTGTAATATAAAATGTTTAATCTATCAATGATATAAGATTTTAGCATGAAATAAGACAGTAATTCATTGTTTATATAAAGTTAATATGTATTTATTTAGTTAATTAATGGATGAGTGGGTATGTTAGCAAAAAGAGTGAAAGAGACAAAGAGGAAGAATACTTTTATCCTAATTTCGAAAAGGAAAGAAACCTAAAAGAAAATATACAATTATTCTTTATATATTCAGTAATGTTTAGAATTCGTAAATATCGTATTTCTTAATACTTCAATATGTTGTCAATTTGTCAATTACCACTTGTTTTATTGACTATAATAGTTGTTCAGTAGCTAGTTTATTTCAACAGTTATGGGAAGGAAAAATATTCCTAGTTATCCCATGCATATAAATGTAGGTAAATGAAGCCAGTTTGCAAAGAAAACCTGATTCTTATACTTGCGCTTCAAGGGAGATGAAATCATCGGAATGATTAATCACAGGATAAATTCTACGTTGAAAGTGGCTTGTTCGTCAGCAGAACTGCTGACGTTATGGGAAATGAACCACTCGCTTGAACAAACTAGAATTGACAGGTCCTCTTTTCTCAGTAGCTTCAACTGCACATGCTAATTTATTTTGTGCGTACCAAAGTACATACATTGGAAGAACTGATAGAAGATTACATGTTCGCATTTCCGAGCATGTTCCAATGAAATTGAGATTGCGAGGGACAAAGACTTTTAACAGTACAATAACTCGACATTTACTTGACACCGGGCATATCATTGACATTCCTCAAACTTTCAAAATTATTATCAGACAAAGAAATACTGCTTCTCTTTGGTTTACTGAAGCAATTGAGTTAAACAATACTCAAAGCCGATCTATGTATCCAAGATGAGACAGTAATAAACCTATCATTACCATTGTAATTCATTTTATTTTGTTTTATTTTGTTAATATTTATTTTGCTATATTGCTCTTCCATTACTGAATTCTTATTTTATGTACATTAAGACTACCCTTTCACTCATACATCTTCATTCACTCAATTCTCTTAAATTATGTAAACTATTCAAATCCTGTTCAGTTGTTATGCAACCCATCTTAACAGTTTTTAATTCCAAGAATCTTGTGTAAACCCTTCATTATTTCTAAAATTATCACATAATTTATTTCATCCGTCTCTGAACTTCACTCAATTAGTAAATCACCCATCGCTCATGTTTTTTTATTCTAACACCAAATGACCTCCGACCTGTCCTTGAATTTATATATATAGTTATTATTGACAACCTTTGTCATTCCAGTTCAATTTCCATTCTTTCAAACTATATCTTACCTCAAAGTAAAATTTCAATGTATATTTGATTGTAAGCAGCTGTTGAGAAACCACGAAATATAATGAACTCACATTATTCTGCATCCATGTTTGTTTTTGCTCTATTTTATACATATGCGTTTATCCTGCAGGTCTTTTTGTCTTGATTAGTTGTTAATTTAGAAAGTATTACGTTCTAATGTGTATTTTTTCACTTTAAGTAATAATTTTAAGGCAATACAAGCCCATATAAATTATTTCTTCATCTAGATCTTTTAATAATCTTAAACTTGGATAAAAAATAATACGATTTACAGAATAAGTCAAATTTATTTTATTTTACTGTACCCCAGTGATTACACTCAACCTTCAGTTGAAATGAAATGGCTGACATATTTTGACCGTTGAAATGAAAACGGCGAATAAATAAATCCTTGAAATTAGTGTATGTTTCCTTCGAAAAAATGTAGTGAAGGGTGATTTAGCAAAAAATATTAATAACAAGCGAGTATCAATGCAAATGAAATGATTAAAAAGAACTTACTTTACTGAAAGTTGGTTGATCGAAAGATATTTGAGTTTCTTTAGTTTTCGTTGTACATACGAAATTCAGATCATAAAATTTACAAACTAATGGTTTCTTTGATTTACAATTTTCAATATGCTGAACATCTTAAAAGTATTCCCTAGGTCCTCATAGCTTATTATTTTTTTAACTAGTGTCGCCCTGTGCTTCAAACCTAACTTTTAAAGAACAAGAACGAAATCCTTTCGAAAGCTCTTACTTCAGTCTCCTTACTGTATATTTATCCTGATAAGTACATTTGGATTAAAAAAATATGAAGAAAAGGAAATATGAATTGAGTACTGATCCTCATATATTACCTGTCTTAGAAGTAAATTAGATGAAAACATTATATTCGACGTCGCTAACTACAAATATATTTTATTTATAATGAATATTGGTGTTTTTCATCTAAGTAATTCATAACATTTAACATTATGGTGACATCGTACTAAATTACAAATATATATGGTGGTGTGCTATTGATGTCGATAGATATAAGTAGTATGTGTCATCAATCGAAAGTGAAACTTTTTCAAAAATTTAGTTTAAAAAATTGTAGCTTACTGATTGAGTTATCAAATTGTATACGGTTCGATTCATTACTTTCCTCGAAATTCCAGTAGGTGTGAAATTATGTCTCAATGCCATAATACAATTATTCATAGTCTTTAGTGCTACTGTACAAAGTATGGAAGCTGATGTATGTTTAATACCATCTGAATGAATTTCCTAGGTTTATAGGATTATAATAAATTTAATTTCATTGAAAATATAATAAAATGGAACTTAGAAAACAAGAGCCTTATTCATTACTATATATTAAACAATACATTATATTGATCGAAAATATTACTGTCTTATCTATTCATGTACTGTCTAATTGAAATATGAAAATACTGTAAATTATAAAGTGGAAAATTATTCCTGATGAGAAAGGCTCTTGGTTAATAAGCAATTCAGTTAATGTTCACAAACCATTCAACCCCATCTAGATTACTATCAAATAGTAGATTTTCATATTACACTTGATCTTATGGAGTAGTGATAAAGTTTGGCTTTACATCACAGTATTTTTCCGTCATATAAATAAAGAATATTTCTTGTTTTTTTTCTTTTGAATAGCTCCAGCCTGTTATTGTTCTCTTAATGTTGAACAGTTAAAAAGTGCTCTATCATCAAGAAGCCCAGAATTATTACCCACTGAACAGGATGATCTTACGTTGAAAGTCATGGCATATCGTAGACGAAGTGGAACATTACCACTATGTTCTATCCCAGTAAATAATGATAACATTGAAGATGAAGATAGTATACTACCTACACATTTCTCAACTAAATTAAATTCTGCAAAATCATCTAATGATCTATTAAAAACAGCTGATGCAAAATGCTGTCTTAAATATAATGTCGAACAACAACAACCTAAGAATCGTTTATCTGTTTCATGGTTAGATACACATTCAACCTGTAATACTGGACAAAATCACATTTCTAAAACTGTCACTTCTGCATGTGCTCCTGCGTCAAGTCCAGAATGTTGTACTACTACTGTCAATATGAATAATAATACAAATGAAATATCTAAATTTTTAAGTTCATCTTTAGAAAATAATAATACTACTATTACTAATACTACTACTAATAATAATAATAATGATAATTCTAAAGAAGAATCTCATAATGATATATCTCAATCTACTGAAGGTACAATGATATTATTTAGTCCAGTAGATCCACTTGGTTATGCTCAATTAATTCATACTCAATCAGATGAACAATTTATATCACCACAAAATATTTATACAAAATTTCCAACAAGTTTTGTATAATTAAAAATATGTAAAATAAATTTTTTTTCCCAGGAAAAAAAAGATAAAAATCATAACAGTTTAACTTATAGAAAGAAAATGTTATTTTAAAATTTGGCATTTTGTTTTCATTTTATGATGAATATATATATATATATTACAGTACAATACAAACAGATAATATACATCATCTCTCACCAAATAGGCCTTCATTACTTGGTTATTCTTTAATTTTGTTTGTTCGTTTGTTCGTTTCAAATTGGTCTCATCTGTTACACTTCATATTGTTATCCTTAACTCTTACTTCTATTTGTTCTTTCTTTCTCTTTTTTTTGTTGCTTCTTCCCTGATGATGATGATGATGATGATGGTGAGATCCATTATCGTGATAAATAATTATAAAATCAATTCATATATGCACATTTTTATGGATCTGTATTTATTTATATAAATAATTTTATGTTCTTATTTCTATAATTTCAAGATGTTTTTTCCCTTTTTTTCTTTTGGTTTTCTCCTAAAGTAATTGAGTCTATAAGTATTTCTTAATAGAATGGTACATAAATATGTGGAATGTAGGTAATCATGTATACATATATGATATAATGACTTTGTCGAAGCGATTTGTACAGAATATTCCAATGTCGACTACGATTGATTAAAGTTCAGTCAAAATATTAGAAATGGAATAAATAAAATTATTATAACTTATAATTAATATTGTGATTTATTACAAGATTAACATAATAGAATATGAAACTAGTTTAAGAAAATAGATGACGATTCCTAATGACTATTATATAACAAAAATAACGAGAAATTAAGTAATGAAGTAATTGCATAGAAACGATTATTTGATATAATCATAATGATGATTTGTGAAGGAAGTTTAAGAAGTACTTCAAGGAATAATACTCAAAGACCGTTACTTTGTACAATTTTTATTATTATTCTTGATTCTCTAAATTAATGGACTCAATATCCTTATTTTTATGGTGAGAATGTAATGTTACGATTAGTAAATTCAAATTGATAAACATATTTAGCTTTAGACTTCAACCACATTTCAGTTTGATGGAATGGTGGCATTTGATTGCATTAGGCCTAAAGGTAGATCTTATTAGAATTCATTATAAAGTCCTCATATTTTCTTTTATTATGAACTGTAGGAAAAATGAACATGCAATGCAGACAGTCACCAATTTGTTGGGACTAAAATCTTCAATTGATCAATTTCTATTGCGTTGTGCGTTTCATTAGTGAACATCTAGGTACCGTTTTTTGATTGCAAGTTTTCAATAAGTGTGCGGTGTAGATAACAGTGAAATACAGAGTGTTACGTTCGTTAAGCTTGAATGCTACTACTGATTCGGCTTATTCGGAGCGGAACGAAGGATCAACGGTTCAGATACTCGATAGTCTATTCTGGTCCGTTGTCCCCGACTCAGCTAACTCGATCAAGAAGTCTTAGTAAGACGTAGAAGTGTATTCTACAGGCAACCAACAGATACCAGGTCAATCAGGCACACAAATCGAGCGTATTTATACAAATATTTATAATCGATATGGTCATGGAAATTTTTTAGCATTATCAGTAAGTTCGTCAGTCGACTGCCATTCAAATATTTAAACATTTAATCGATAAGTTCGTCAATTGACTGTTATTTAAACATTTAATCGATAAGTTCATCAACTGACTGCCATTCAACTATTTAGACATTTAATCGATAAGTTCATCAATTGACTACCATTCAAATATTTCAACATTTATTCGATAAGTTAATCGATAAGATAAAATTACAAAATATGAGTTTTGGGGATCTATCGTCTCCAACACCCCTCCCCTTTTTAACAGCGTACTTTCCTGGGGTCAACCTGCATCTTGACTATTGCTCCCCGCTGTCGGAGAGGCCACCGTCCTGAATAGGAAGAAACATTGTCCCTGGATTTCATTCCAGATAATAATCCAAATATACTGAGACCTTGTAATTAAAAGATAGTAATATGGCATCCACTCAGGATCACATATATCAACAGAGACCAAACAATTAAGGTCCCAAATATCATTAACTAGAAAATAAAAACTTAGATATGAGAGATCGATTTTGTGATAATTACCTTAGAAACCAACAGTAAGCAAGTAAGGGAAAGGTGAACATTTAAAGTTTGTCAGTTTCACTTTGTCTATCAACTAAGGGCATTCTACTTAATTATAATTGAACTACAGACTGAATAGCATAGTTCCTAATTTTACTCAATATTATGTAACGCATTATCTTACAAATACGGATCAGGGTATATACATTCATTATACTCCCATTATATAAAAGTATTTCCATTTTACAATCCTGTCACTTTTTTGAGTTTATTGATATATACGAAAAAGAACAAATCTGATAAATCACCTTTTGTCGTTTCGGAGAAATGGACTATAACAGTAAAACTAAGTGTGACTGGACGGTTTCAAGTTTTTATCGTAATTAGGTCAATCTAAGCACTCGGTATATGATTCCAAGTTTTTTTTTTAATTTCCTAATGATTTTGTGAACTCATTTGCTACGTTTACAGATCTTATCAAAAATTCTTATCAAATTTATTTTTAAATTATGATAAAGATCAACAACAACAAAAATAATTCTGGGTTCCTTAGATCTTTAAAACAGACTTGGTTCAAGAACTATTGGAATTAGATCATTCAATATTACCTACTACCTAAATTTTTAAAAAGTTCAACATCAGTTCACTTTCCAACATATTACCAATTAACTTGACCTTTGTACTATCTTATATATGTAATGACAAATCTAGGCTTAAGTTTAACACGAAATGTAAAGAAATTTTTAAATCATGTAACTATAGAATTACCGTGGATCATGATACTCATTACAGACATTATTTTATAGATGCATTGAGATTAGTCACGTATGGATATTAACCACACAAAAAAAATCTATTACAGTTTAATTATTAAAGTTCAGTTTATCAAGCCATATTGATAAAGTTTTTATTTTCTTAAATAACAGTAGTCTAGCAGCTAACGCATATTTATCAGTTAAGTATCTCTTCTTGCTCCGTATTAATTTACTTCTATATTTCTTTCAAGGAAAAAAATATGAAATAGGTTTCATTATTAGTTGACTTGTTAACAACCTTTTTTAACATTAACAAAAATATGTCAACCTACGTTATAGTTAAACGTTTGAAGTATTAGGTCTTATTCAATAGATTTAGTGTTATACTGATAAAAGAAGTATATTTTCTATACTTGATGATCTTAGTCTCCCTATAGACTGGAATTTTTAAAACTTAAGTTATTACTGTAAACCGGTTCAAGTTATTTGATCATATCTACATGATGTCTCATGTTTAAGCAACTGATGTTTCAGTAGAATTTCATACTTTACAAATTTATCTATAGTTGTTACTAACTGAGGTACAGAATGTCATCTACTATGATCTACCACAGTCATCCTATAAGAAAAATTCATTGTGTGTTTTTATTTTTAAGTTCAATCACCAAACAGAAAATAACAAAACAGATTATCTTCTCGTTTTACAAGTTTATTCATTAAAAGGACAAAACTAGATATTCAAGAATGTATTTGCAGTTATTTGTATGTTTCTTAATATTCTTTATTTCCATCTATACTGCTAATCACATTATACAATTATGAAAGTGAATAATATGGAGATGAGTAAAAGTATAAGCTGAAATACAAATATGTCTAATAAATAAATAGAAATCACTCAGATTCTTGTAATTTCCACTGCTTCCGATATTGGAAATACTGAATCGTTGATATTGTTTACATTTTCCATATTTGGTTGCAATTTTTCTACTATCATATCAGGTAAATTCTCACCACTTGTATCTGGTATAACATATAATAAAATTAATTGCATAAAAATTACAACTGAGTAAATTATTAATGGTACACCATGTCCAATGGATATATCTAATTGATTAATAAACGTACAGATTATACTACCAGTTCGACCTAATCCAGCCACAGTTCCAAATCCTTGAGATCGTATAACAGATGGATATAATTCAGGTATATATATAAAGCATAAATAAACCAGCAGCAAGAAATATAAGTGATAAATTTGATCCGATAGCAAGGATTAAATCACCTTCTGGATTAAATATATAAGTGTATAAACCACATGATAATAAAATGATAGACGCTACAATATAAACAAAAAATAATGGAGGTTTACGATGACGTATAACACGATATAGTATTGTTGATAAAAACAAAGCCGGTATACTAGTGCATGCATTGATAAAGCTAACTAAATAAACACTTCCACGTACAGCACGAGCATAAAGTAGTAAACCAAAGAATGTCATTACTTCACCACTGAATAAAATTACTCCAAGAATAGTAGTTTTAGCTAATTGTCTAGTAGAAAATGGTAGACAAAGTGACTTTAAAAATTTCATAAAAAATCTTTCATTGTTATTCGGATAAATTTGATTATTTTGATTTGTTTTTTGAATATTGGTTATAACTGAATGGCTTTGTGGAGTACATTCATATTCTTGTTTATTCTTATGTAGTTCTTCTTCTTGTTGAATCATTCCATCAAGTATATATGTGGATTTCATGCTTTTTCTCATATGAAAATGATTAACTCTATAGGCAAACTTTAATGATTTTAGTGCATCAATACGTCGACCTTTAGATAATAACCATCTTGGTGATTCAACTAAACACCAAAAATATAAAATACACAATAAATTAGGTGCCATTACAGACAAATTTAACCATCTCCAATTCGGTATGAAATATGCTTCTAATGATATTAATGCTCTCAATAGAAAATTGTATCCCAATGCCATTACAGCACCAATATATGAACGATATTTAGCTATAGTCATCTCCATTACTAACACATTTAATACTGTAACTTTGCCTATATTTGCTATACCAACAATTGCCCTAGACAATATATAAACAATGTAATTAGGTGACAATGATGTACATATACTAAATATAAACTCAATTATTGCTAAAATTATTGATGATTTTTTTCGTCCAAATTGATCACCAGCCCAACCACCAAATATAAATCCAATCATCATTCCAACAAAATAAATTGATGAACCTAATGGTACAAGCCAATTATGTTGACAAACTGTATCAAATTCAATGACAACACTTCCAGGATATTGTAATTCATTTAATTCATATACATATCCATTTTCACATGGAATTATTTGATAATGAATAAATTTTGATTGAAATGATCCTTTATCATAAGTATGAATTACTTCTTCAAATAAATTTTCTGTCCAATTTAATTTATATTGATAACATCCATTCATTTGTGCATAATTTGTATCAGTTTTATTTTTCCATGGACCAATTATAATACCAACTTGTTCTAATGATAAATTCTTTAAATGTATTATATTTTCTATATTATTAGATAGACGACAACGTTGTTGTGGTATTGAATTAGCAAATACAGGAAATGTTGGAATAGATGGATTACTAAACATTACTAATATTGCTGTAAACCATTGCCAAATACTACATGCACCTACAATATTTACATATAATTGATCAACATTAATTAATTGACTATTAGATTGTTGATATTGAATTGTTTGTTCAATATAATCATCATTATAATGTAATTGAAGTATATTTGAATTCTTTTCTTTAGAAGTCATTCTTCAATTGTTTCTATCTTCGTGTTTTAAACGTTTTATATTTCTAATTGAATATTCAATAATTTAATTATGATTATTTCATTAATATTGAGTTGATATGTATATTATTTGAGAATTTAATTCAATTCAAATGTATATAATCAACTATTTAGCACAATGTGATAAATAGATATGACATAAATAATTATGCAATTTATTAAATGAATCTCATTAAAAATTGTTATACAATAATATAATCTTAGTTATTCACTTTCTTAGACAAACTCACATATATATATATATATACTTTATTGAACCGAATTACGTAACAGCAATATAAACGTCATTTAGATTATAAAGAGAAACACATTTTTTAGCAAACACTAATTCCAACAACAGCAACCACAAAAACATGATAGTTCTAAATAAATTTAATTGAAATTCATTGTGAACATCAAAAAACTAAAAAAAGAAGTTTTTTTGGAAAAATGTTTTTTTAGGAATATTAATGAGTTAAACATTTAAATTTTTTCTTGATTGAGATCAATAACCGATTGATGTTGGACCACCAATGAAAACTCAGAAGCACTGGACGGCCGTTTCGTTCTATTGTGGGACTCATCAATAGTGTGCATCTACGATCCTGCAAGCGGGATTCGGACCCAAGTCCTTCAGTTTCGCGCGCGAACGCTTAACCTACTGGACAAGTGAGCCGGCATCCAATGATGTTAATGTCTAATCTTAACCAATCCACGAAGTTGTGCGACCATCTTCCATTGTACTGTGGTAGACACTTGTTTCTACCCGACACGGATTAGCTCCACTGGTCAAGGCTTCTCATCAGAACTCCGGAAATTTTCTCACGAAGCTAGTCACTAGTGAGCACATGGTAATTATCAGTTTAGGGGTTGTGGAGATCGTTAAGTGTTTTTTTATTGAGATCATGAACCGATTGATGTTAGACATTCGTTGATAGTCCTCTCAATTTCATAACCAACACCCTCACCACGAGAAGGTAGTGAGTAGGACCTCCCTGTTAGGGACCCAGTAGGTTAGGCGTTCGCTCGCGAGACTGAAGGCCTCAGGTTCGAATCCCGCGAGCGGGGTCGTGGATTCGCACTGCTGAGGAGTCCCACAATAGGACGAAACGGCCGTCCAGTACTTCCGGGTTTTCAATGGTGGTCTAACATCAATCGGTTCATGATCTCAATAAAAAAAACTTAACAATCTCCACAACCCCTGAAATGACTTTAACTTTTTTTGTTTGGATATGATTTTTCATAAATCAATTATATCATGGTGACATTCATGATAAAATAAGTATGGAAAAAGAAAATGAATAAAATGTTCAATGATCAAGAGCAATACATTGAATGATTTTCGGATTTGAAAATTATTCAATAAGATATATAGATAATCTCCTTAATAATAAGTTTCTATATATTTATTCAATTTATCAAACAATGGTTAAATCGATTGAAATGATTTATTTATTTATTTGAACACATTAATATTCGTACAAAAGAACACTGAATACATATACACCACACAAGTCACTTGATTTCTGTGCGAACTGTGATACTGCCTGTGTGCTGAAACCGTAGCAGGTGGTTTTTTAGGGGACCGTACCCAGAACCTTCAACCTAAAGGTCTGATCCAGAAGGTAGTGGAGCAACGTCAGGAGATACAGTCCAATGGTAGCCGGTGACCAATGAGATGGTTCATATGCCATTTCTTCCTTCAGGATACTGGAGCCTATGTGCATCATTGGTTTGGAATCAGGGTTTCTCAACTCATCTAGGTGAATCTTTCATAACCACTAACATGGTTAAAGCGCCGGACGTTTGCTGATAGTCCAATCAATCTCGTAAACAACACCCCTACCACGAGAAAGTAGCGAATAGAACTTCCCTGGTAGTGGTTGTATGCATGCGTCCATGTGAGAGCACTTGAAGAGGAAGAGTTGGTTCTCCCCATCTTCGGCCTTGCCAGGGCATTTGGAGACAACTGAAATGAAGAATTTATTTGAAAAAATAATTCTAAATTATTTTCAAAGTTATCATATATAAATAACATCAGAGTTCTGTAATATTGAACATTTAAAGTATTTTAAAATATGTAAAAGTGAATATTAAAAAGTAAGAGCGAAAATTAATAAATAAGAAATTAGAAATAAAAAGTCATTCAAACAAATTATAAGCTTAATGAAAAATAATATTAACAAAAGCGAATGAGGAACTTCATTTTCCGGATGTCCGGTTTGAAAAGATCTTAAATGATTCTTTACAAAAATTCATATATATATTACGAATCTCCATGGTTGGCCTCCATTGAGTAAAAAGAGAAACTTAATTCGCTCTTTATCCTTGAGGACTAAACGAATATGTTCTAATGACACAACAGATGACGAACTACTTCAGCTTCGACAGATACTCATAGGAAATTTCTATCCACCAAGACTTGTCGACAGGGACTTAACACCAGGACAACATCATGAATAAGCGTCTACAATTCGAAAGAAAACACTTTATTAAAATAATATTTAAATGAGATACGTTCGCCGAAATCTTAAATTAAAAAAATTTAAAATACCTAAATCAAACCTAGTAAGCTAAGCTTAGTATTGTCAAATAGGTCTACCATTCACGGATGTGTTAAGAATAAACTCCCGAATTGGGCCATATCGATGTACGTCTACAAAAGCACTTGATCATATGTGACTCCATAAACCGGCAGCATAAGTTATTCCTTTCCAAAAGCACATTAGAAAATAAACTGAGATAACATTTAACGTAAAATCAAAGTATCACCAGTTAAAAAGGAGGAGCACATAATCCATCATGAAAATGACGAAGGAAAAAAGTGTTCATACAAACAAAACTAAAAAACAAAACAACAACATAGACGAGAAAACAAATGAAAAAAATTAAGCACACCAGTGGTGACGCCAAAAGAAGAATTAATACCGGAAATAATACAGAAGAACTGGCAATGAAGTGGCGTAAAAAATTTTTATAAATATCCTTCGTGATTAAATGATAAAAACAACTCTATCGAAAATATAAACCACATAACCAAGATCAAGCAATCATCACCTTATGAAGCGAAAAATTGTCTAAATAAACATACAGAGATTGAAATAAATAGAGAGTCTTCACTCGACCTTTATGTCACTGAGGAATGTGCACAGAAAGAGTACAGAATGAAGGAAGTGGCAGTGCTTAACCGGCTTGTTATATCGATTCAAACGGTCGACTGTCAACACTGAAAATGGAATACGTGTGGACATGTGCGTGTGCGTGTGCGTGTGCGTGTGCGTGTGCATGTTCATCTGCAACACACATAGGAATGTCGGAACAAGTCTGGAGAATTTGGAGATCATATGGGAAACCAATGGAGGAGCAGTGTGTGAATGGTATAGAAAGGCGATATTCCATCGTCTTCTCCACATTGTCCACCTCATCACTGTCTTACTTCCACACCTTCTCCCATAATGTTCGCACTCATGATTGGCGTGTTCTGGGACGAGTCACTTGTTCATGTCGAAGGTAGTAGAGGAATGAAGCAGAGAGAGTGGAATGGACACGAACTGTTAGCGTGAATCATCTACGCTTCGTATATGGATGTGTGAGGGTGTTGACGTGTGTATCAGAGAGCGATGATGTCGATGAAAATGACGGGATTGGGAAGGTGGTCCTTTCGGCCTACCGATTAGGTAGACCACCTAACGAATTAGGTATAGGACAATTTCAATTGTTCTTCACGAAGTAACCACCTCCATTGCCCGACGAACAACTACTGTGAATTCTCAGTTATCAACTTCGCATCATACAAGTGTGAACCAATCAACACACAATATGCACATCATTGGTCATTCAATATTGCAATGATCATGTGTGCGACAATCCATACGTTGTTCAGTCAGTCAGTCAGTCATTGATACAGTTGTTGAAATGCAAACCGACTCTCTCTACCACTTACCCTGTGTATAGTCAGCAGTGTGTGACACATCATAACGACACTGGCATTTCACTGGAATATGGGTGTTAACTATCAATAAGACGAAGGTGAGAAGATATGACAACAAATTGAAAATTTGACCATCCGATTTGTCCTACTCATCAGTAGTATGGTGTGACATGTGAAAGAAAAAACCACCACCAAACTGACCGACTGCCTGACCTAACAGTTCACATGGCAGCTGACATTGAGTAACCCGGTTATAACAACAATTACACTTCTCAACATCACAACATCTCACCCATTCCCACTCTCTTATCACCAGAACAACAGAACATCAATATCGATCCAGTCCGTAGACTCCAAATCCATCATCTACAGTTAATCGAATTGATATTTCAAAGATATTTGACAATGTTTATTGAGCTATCCCACTAACGAAACCAAGATGTACGTGTCCTGTGCTCAGTCAATACCATCTCGATTTCGATGGAGTAAACGGAGTATCACTGCTCTCCAGTGTTTCACTCCATTGTGTAATCTTAGAGGTATATTCACACCAATTTGTGTATTCCCACTACAATCGATCGACTGTGTGTCACGGAGTATGACAATTAGGCGACTGTGTTCTTTTTCATTCTTTCGTCTCACACATCATCTTCAACACAGATCCAATGCTAGTCGACTGTTTTGCACCCATCACCAACACTGAACTGTTCGTCAATTAATCAGACAAAACCACATACACACAAACACACACACACACACACACAGAGAGAGAGAGAGAGCGAGAGTATGATCCTGCGTATTGTGTCTCTCATGTAACTACAACTCACGCACTCATTTGTAGATTACCAATGTTGGTGGTGAGTCTACTCGAGCTGAAAAGGATTGGTGTAGCCTCGTAGCTTACATCGAAGTCACACCTCACGATAAGTACATAACTTGGCTTAGACTATCGTGATAACCAGGCAATGCGGCTCCCTTAATGACTGTCTAGAAAGAATGGAATCTTGCCGAAAAGCATAGTTTATCGGAGAGAACAGACTACAGAGGTACAG